TATTCGATTAATCCGAAACCGGATTTAAAAAAAACGGAATATCAGAATTTATAATTGATTATGCTCGATATTCATATGTCATGCACAAATTGGTGTGGATCTGTATGAAATCTGATGGCCAAAAAATTGATCTTATTCGTGCCAGATTTAAAGAAAAAAAAAAAAAATACAAAACGGTTTTGGTGTTTAAGCCTCTACTTTAAGTATTGTGTGCATATCATATGGGGTATCTAAGTGTATTACTTTACTTGCATAGTATATGAGCTTATTCGGCAAATGACCAAAATGTAGGGTGATTTACTAAAGGGCTTCTAGTCCAGCGGTATCCGGTATTGCCTTCTCTCATTGAGGTTGAGGGTTCAAGTTCTGTCGTGAACATAGGTGGATTTAAGGTGTAATTTACGAGTAGGTTAGATTTGTCGTTTCAAAAAAAATGTAGGGTGATTTTGAAGAAAATGACCACAAAAATGAAGATTTTAGAAAATGATCACAAGTTCCGCAGAGGGGGTTCTGCGGAACCATAAACACCTCTGCGGATCTTGATTTTTTTCATTTTTTTTTTCGTTTTTTCGTTTTTTTTTCGTTTATTAATATATTTTTTTTAATCACATAAGTCATTGGCGTTATAGCAAACAATTGATATTCCCTTGGTCTTGATCTTGATCTTCTTGGAAGCTTTAACACCACAAGTGTAATGCCTCTAATGGAATCACACCCAATGACTAGCAAGAAGGAAAGTAGAAGAGAGAGAGGAGAGGGAGTATGCAAAATCTCGGCCTTAGGGTTTCTTCAAAAGAAAGAGTGACCAAAAACATGAACCAGGAGGCTCCTTATATAGCTGAGGGATCTAGGGTTTAAGGGAAACCCTAGTTATCCTTTGCTTAGGGCCTAAGCAAACCCAAGGGCCTTATCCAAGCCCCTATGGACGAAATTATTAGGGTTTCCCCTAAAGATTTCGTCCACCCTCTTCCAAGGGGGTTCTAGAGCCTTCCACTCAACTATTAGATAATTGCAAACTAGTCCCTGTACCTTATAATTAATTCTTTTAACCCCAAAATCAATTCTGATTAATTTCTGGCTAACAATTAATTAAACATAATGATTTCTAATTAATATATTAATCCATTAACATATTAATAAATCATTTATATATATATATATAATTTATTAATCTTATAAATTAATATCTCTCCTTTCATAATTTCCTTGTCCAGTTGCTAGGTTGAGGGCAACCCAAAAGGACTGTGCTGCTATCAATTCAAGTACATACCAATTATAGTTATGGGCTTAGACACCTAATCCAACAGTCTCCCACTTGGATAAGTCTGTAACTATAATTGCTAGTATGCCTTCTAAATTTGACCAGCAAATTGTAGCTTCCAAAAGCTGCTGCTGCCGAACTCTGACCCAGTCAGTTACGTGTCCTAAGATAAGTGATCATATAACCCTTCGTTCTGCTTGATATCCCCAGACAAAAGACATGGAATGTAATCAATCTGTTTGTCCAGAATCTATGTTTCCCGATTCCTGATTTGTGATGATGTAGGACTTCTAATTGAACACATCAATTTAGTCCTGGCTGGGCCCAGCACATAAGTCAACACCAAATCATCGAGGGGCCCACAGATATCGCTTTTCCTGTTAGGGCAAAAGGAACGAATAAACGTTGACTCATATGCTTGTATCTTTTACTCATCAAATTATGCATGACAATACGTTTTATAACACCAAGTTACTGATGCGTTTTCGTATCACCAATGCACAACCGACTTGTAAATTACAACTCATATATCTTCGTTTCAAGATTATAAGATATTATCGTCTCAGTATTACTCGTGATGAATTCCATGAAGTGATACTCTGAGCGAGGGTTTATCCAATACTCAAATCTCAATTTCTGAGTACTCATGAACATTGCAGCAATTCTATTGCCATGTCTATCCTTAGACAATCTGCAATCCAATTCATGACAGTCTTAATTCACTACTTACTTCCAAGAGTACGAGCGACTGTGGAGTTTGAATAATCTCATTATTCAGGAAGTAAAACATGCAAAATTGAAACACAATAATAAACAATTGACAAAAGGTAGTAGCCAAACTTATAAATAATACTTTATTATTTAATCACCAAAAGTCAATTACATTTACTTTGTTACAAGTTTCAAAAACTAATCTAACTACTAAAACTAATATCATCTTTCAGTCCTATGCTCCGAGCATGCTGAATATGCTTAGCCCTACTCAGACCCTTTGTGAGGGGATCTGCTGGGTTATCTTTAGATGACACCCTCTTTACTATAAGATGGCCTTCTTCAACTCTATGTCTGATGAAATGGTACTTTCTGTCGATATGTCTGGTCTTACCATGATCTCTCGGTTCCTTTGTCAAGGCAACCGCTCCTTCATTATCGCAGAACAGTTCCATAGGCTCCTGGATGGTTGGAACAACTCCGAGATCCCCGATGAAGTTCCTCAACCAAGCTGCTTCTTTCGACGCTTCACTTGCTGTTATGTACTCTGATTCACAAGTAGAATCAGCCACCGTATTTTGCTTGGAACTCTTCCAAGTAACTGCTCCTCCATTCATTAAAAATACCCAGCCCGACTGAGAACGGAAGTTATCTCTATCCGTCTGAAAGCTGGCATCACTGTAACCATCTACTCTCAAAGTATCACTGCCACCAAGCACAAGAACCCAGTCCTTTGTCCTTCGCAAATACTTGAGTATATTCTTAACTGCTATCCAATGAGCTCTACCTGGGTTTCCCTGATAGCGACTGACCATGCTCAAAGCAAATGCCACATCAGGCGAGTACATGTCATAGCGTACATGATCGATCCGACAGCGGAAGCATAAGGTACACGACTCATGTCATCTATTTCAACATCTGTACTCGGGCATTGAGTCTTACTCAATTTGGTATTGCTCTGGATAGGTAGCTCTCCCTTCTTGGAATTTTCCATACTAAACCTCTTTAGTACCTTATCCAAGTATGTGCTCTGACTAAGTCCAATTAGTCTCTTCTTTCTATCTCTCAATATTCTAATCCCAAGAATATAGGCAGCTTCTCCAAGGTCTTTCATGGCAAAACACTTTCCAAGCCAAGACTTAACTTCTTTCAAGGTTGGAACGTCGTTACCAATGAGTAATATGTCATCGACATACAACACCAGAAAAGTTACTATACTCCCACTAGCCTTGATATACACACAGAACTCATCTTCACTTCTAGAGAAACCAAATTCTTTGACTTTCTCATGGAAGCAAAGATTCCAACTGCGAGATGCTTGTTTCAATCCATAAATGGATTTCTCAAGCTTGCACACTCTATTAGGGAACTTTGCATCAACAAAACCCTCTGGCTGACTCATGTAAACATCTTCAGCCAACTTCCCATTAAGGAAAGCAGTTTTGACATCCATCTGCCAGATTTCATAATCATGAAAGGCAGCTATGGCGAGCAATATCCTAATAGATTTAATCTTAGCTACTGGTGAGAAGGTCTCATCATAGTCAACCCCTGGGGTTTGAGTGAAACCTTTTGCAACCAGTCGAGCCTTGAATGTGTGCACATTTCCATCCATGTCTGTCTTCTTCTTGAAGATCCATTTGCACCCAACTGTCTTACGACCTGGTGCACTATCAACCAAATTCCAAACTTGGTTGTCATACATGGACTTAATCTCGCTGTCCATTGCCTCTTTCCACTTGGAAGCCTCTGGGCCTGCCATTGCTTCCTTATAAGTGACTGGTTCATCTAAGTTTACCAGTGTTCTGTCACTTATGAATGTGTCACCATCTGAAGTAATATGAAAACCATACAACTCAGGTGGCACACTCACCCTAGTGGATCTTCTAAGAGGTAATGAGTTATCGATTGGTTCAACAGGAACTGTTTCCTCTGGTTGAGTGCTAGTGTCATCTAAGGTTCCTTCATTGGCTGAATCTTGAATTTCTTCAAGGTCAATAGTGCTCCCACTGTCCTCTTTGAATATGAGCTCTCTTTCAAGAAAGACTCCTCTTCGTGCTACAAAGACCACGTTTTCACTAGGCCTGTAGAACAAATATCCAAAAGACTGCTTTGGGTAACCAATGAAAACACATTTCTCACTTCTAGCTGCTAGCTTGTCGTGAGTCTCTCGTCTTACGAAAGCTTCACAACCCCAGACTTTAATATGTGCTAACGAGGGAACTTTCCCTGTCCACATTTCGTGAGGTGTTTTGGCAACCTTCTTTGTAGGGACAAGATTGAGGATGTGGGCGGCTGTCTCTAAGGCATACCCCCAGAAGTGAATAGGAAGCGAAGCCCGACTCATCATAGAACGAACCATGTCTAACAAGGTTCGATTGCGCCTCTCAGCTACACCATTTAACTGTGGTGTCCTAGGAGGAGTCAATTGTGAGACTATCCCACATTCTTTCAGATAGTCGTTAAACTCGATACTAAGATACTCCCCGCCTCTATCGGATCTAAGTATCTTTATCTTTCTGCCCAATTGATTTTCGACTTCATGCTTAAACTCTTTGAACTTTTCAAAAGTTTCTGACTTATGCTTGATCAAGTAGATATATCCATATCTGCTATAATCGTCAGTGAAAGTCACATAGAATCGATTAGCATCTCTTGTAGTTGATCTGAAGGGCCCACACACATCCGTGTGTATGAGATCCAACAGACCTTCACCTCTTTCACAAGACCCTGTGAATGGTGATTTTGTCATCTTTCCCAAAAGACAAGATTCACACATATCATCTGACTTTAGGTCAAATGATTCCAACACTCCATCCTTTTGGAGTTGGGCTATGCGTTTCTTGTTAATGTGTCCAAGACGACAATGCCACAAGCATGCCTTGTCTACACTATTAGACAAGTCAATATTAAGTACACTATTTCCTAGGCTATCAACACAAGTCACTGTTTCATACACACCATTACAAGGTAAAGCTTCAAACATAAAAACACCATTCTTATAAACAGAAATTGAACCATTCAAATCATTAAAAGAATATGTAAAACCTTGTCTGAACAATGCATGAAATGAAATAATGTTTCTCGTCATCTCAGACGAATAGCAACAATTTATTAAATCTAATCTAACATCATTACTAAGCAGAAGCTGATAAACTCCGATCTTGGTTACTGGTGAAGACTTTCTGTTTCCCATGATCAGGTTTATCCTTCCTCGCTCTATCTCCTCACTTTCCTTTAGACCCTGCAAATCAGAACAGATATGAAAACCACATCCTGTATCAAGGACCCATGAACGAGAAGATAATGAGTTATTAGCAGAAATAGTGTAAATACCTGCCGAAGATGGCTTCACTTTGCCATCCTTGATATCTTGCAGATATTGTGGGCAAGATCTCTTCCAATGCCCTTTTTGGTTGCAGTAAAAGCAAACTGCCTCTTTTGGATCAGAAACATGGGGAGTGGAACCATTGGGCTTAGCCTTTGGGCCATTACTAGATGACCCAGCTTGAGCCTTGCTCTTCCAGTTTTGTTTGGGAGGACCTTTCCTCTTTTTCCCCTTTCCCTGTCCAATAGCCAAAACAGGGGCACTCGTAGGTGTGGAGGGTATACTTTTACCCTTCATCCCTGCCTCAGCTGTCTGCAACAAGTTGTGCAATTGGGCCAAGGTCTGCTCAGTATTGTTCAAATGGTAAGTTAGAATAAACTGACCATAACATTCAGGAAGTGAGTTCAAACCATGTCAATGGCCAATTCCTCATCAAAGTGAATATTGAGCTTGACCAAACGCTCTATGTAGCGTTGCATTCTTTGCACATGTGACACAACCGACTCCCCATCTTTCATCTTGCAAGCCATGAGTGACTTGACTACTTCGAACTTTTCTTGACGAGCTCGCTTATGGTACTTTTCCATAAGGTCCTTGTTCATCTCGAAAGGCCAGTAGTCCTCATAGTACCTCTGCAGTTCTGGGGACATAGTTGCCACCATGATGCATGCCACTTTGGTAGCATCATCGTAATGTTTCTTGTAGGCAGCAAGATCTTCAGGAGTAGCTTCATTCTCATCAAGCTCTTTGAGCTCCTTTTCAAGAACATATTCTTTGTTCTCGAAACGAAGAGCCATCTTGATGTTGCGCATCCAATCGTTATAGTTTGAGCCATCCATAACGACTTTGGAGCAGATATTGAGCAAAGAGAAGTTCTGGTTGGAGGAGGATGAAGCAGAAGTGTTTCCAGGAGTAGACATCTGAAAAGAAAGAAAGTTTTAGTTAGATTTCAAGATACCTTAATAGAATAACCCAAAGATATAATATCAAGGTTAGGATCCAACTATGAAGATTCACAACTTAGAAATGGGATGCCGAGATCCAAGTGCAAATTTCATAAAGGTAGGTGAATGACGATTCACCAATTCCACCATTAGACGAAACAAACGAAGTGAAATTCCTAATTCTTTTGAGATACATTGAAACTATTCAATGGCATGTTTTAATCTCAGATTATGCTCTTCTATTTGTGACTGGGATGCCGAGGATCACAAACAAGATGTGAATAACCATGCAAATGTGCTTGGTAACCTCATTGTCTTTATCATTAACTATTGATGTGCTGGTAAACCACACACGCTCCATCAAAATGACAATTATGAGATACCATTACTACTCTTTATTAGTGCCTTTTAGTGTGCTGGTTAACCACACACGCTCCACTAACGACCAATAAAGCATAATGTGCAATTTCATGGATTAGCATACTTTTCACATTTTTCCTAAAGTAACTAGAGTTGGGATTTTGAAAATAATGTTCTAGTACTTTCTTTAATATCATTATACTTTTAATGAGAAGTAGTTGTCCTATCAAATCCGTTCTGCTAACGACCCTCCACTAATCAAGGAAGCGGTGGGTGAGAGTGGACACCCATTCAACTACCATTTTATAGGCAGTTTCCTTATACCCCCCTTATAGATTAGCTTCGTGAATGAGGCATACTAGCGATTTGACTGACCATATTCTTATACATATAATATTAAACCTTTAATTATAATATATATATATAAGGTGTGTTTTAAAACTTTTTAAAACTTCAAGGGTTTATATAAATTTCGAAATTTAAGCTATTAATTTCAAATTTAAATAAACCAATTAACTAGATTTAATATTTATCTATTAATTAACTATTAATCAAATTATTAAATCTTGTAAGGATTATCTAATTAAATTAATCAATTAATTTAATCCTAATCCTTATCCCTCTAATTTCGAAAAATAGGGTAAGGATAATTATCCAATTAATCTAATTAAGTAACAATTATCCAAAAACAAGAAACCCTAGTTATCCTCTTAGCATATTTCGAAATTCATAAGGGAGGAGGCTAGGGTTTTCAAAACCCTAACCCAAATTTCGATTAGGGTTCTTTGGAGGCTAGGGTTTTCGAAAAAACCCTTTGATCCAAAACCCTAGAAATCGAAAAATTGGCCTTTAGGGTTTAATAGCTATAAACCCTAATTTGCAATTCAACAATTGTAGCAATTCAATTTAAAACAACAATGGCTCTGATACCACTGATGGGTTTTAGGTACAACAAATAAACTAGAAAACAATTCCTAAGTTCACATGCAACCTACTTTGGATCTATGTTTTAACTATTGAACATACAACTTTGAATTGCAAAACTAGAACCCTAGAGGAGAGAGGCTAATTTCGAAATTAACAAACTAGGGTTTAGGGTTTACATACCTTTCAATTGTTATAGCAAACAATTGATATTCCCTTGATCTTGATCTTGATCTTCTTGGAAGCTTTAGCACCACAAGTGTAATGCCTCTAATGGAATCACACCCAATGACTAGCAAGAAGGAAAGTAGAAGAGAGAGAGGAGAGGGAGTATGCAAAATCTCGGCCTTAGGGTTTCTTCAAAAGAAAGAGTGACCAAAAACATGAACCAGGAGGCTCCTTATATAGCTGAGGGATCTAGGGTTTAAGGGAAACCCTAGTTATCCTTTGCTTAGGGCCTAAGCAAACCCAAGGGCCTTATCCAAGCCCCTATGGACGAAATTATTAGGGTTTCCCCTAAAGATTTCGTCCACCCTCTTCCAAGGGGGTTCTAGAGCCTTCCACTCAACTATTAGATAATTGCAAACTAGTCCCTGTACCTTATAATTAATTCTTTTAACCCCAAAATCAATTCTGATTAATTTCTGGCTAACAATTAATTAAACATAATGATTTCTAATTAATATATTAATCCATTAACATATTAATAAATCATTTATATATATATATATTAATTTATTAATCTTATAAATTAATATCTCTCCTTTCATAATTTCCTTGTCCAGTTGCTAGGTTGAGGGCAACCCAAAAGGACTGTGCTGCTATCAATTCAAGTACATACCAATTATAGTTATGGGCTTAGACACCTAATCCAACAGATGAGGTTTACGTTAGAAATAATGTGAAAAACTATGGTTTAAATCTTCCTCCTAACATTGACCATGAAATGTTATTACAAATGGTTAGAAGTAAGGCAGGTGTGCTAAATAGTCATATACGTTTGTCTTTTAAGCACCCGGAGTTAGGGTATGTTATGGAGCTTGGAGATGAAGCTGATGTATTTCAATTGAGACATGTAATGTCTAAATCAAAGAAGACGGTGGGCATGACTGAATTACAACGTCATAATTTGTTCGAGTTTGGAGAAGTTCCTGAAGTTGATGATCAAAGATGTGAGGAAAAATCAAATGAAGGGTGGTCGGATGATGAGTACACGAAACAGAAAACTGCTTTTAATCCATGGTATTGTATTCCTTCTATTCCTGATTGTCCAAAACCTATTTTTGAACCTGGACCATTTCACAGTTTAGGTCCGAATGATACATTAATTGTCAATCAAACCTATAACACCAAAAGAGAGCTAGCGTTTGCTGTTAAATTGAAAGCTGTTAGAGAAAAGATTCAGATAAAGGTTGAAAAATCTTCAAAATCTCGGTACCAGGTTGTTTGTATGCAAGAAAACTGTCATTGGCGTTTATACGCATCTCGCATTAAAGGAACATAAATGTTTGAAATTAAGACGTTTAATGACGAGCATACATGTTCTTCATTGCTTATACACCCAAATCATAGGCAAGCAAATAGCGAAGTTGTGGGAACCATAATACATGACATTGTGGGTCAAGGAAGTTTGAGAGTTTGGAAGCCGAAAGATATAATTAGAGATATGAATGCTTTGCTTATTCACAAGTGTGGCATGCTAGAGAATTTGCTCTGGGATTGATGATGGGGACCCCCGAAGAAAGTTTCTCCAAACTTCCAGTTTATTTTCACAATCTGAAGAAACATAATCCTAGTACTGTGGCGTACATAAAAATTGATTCGGAGGATCGTTTTGAGTATTGCTTTTTCGCTATTGGATGTGCGGTAATATATTTTTAAATATATTTGATATTTTCTTAAATGTTTCTAAACAAATTATATTGTTGATATATTAATGGGTTTTATATTGTTGTTGCAGATACGTGCTTTCAGAGAGTGTTGTAGAAAAGTTATTATTATAGATGGTGCTCATTTGAAGGGAAAGTACAAAGGCACCATCTTGCATGCAGTGACCATGGATGGCAACAATCAGATATTGCCTATTGGGTATGGAATTTGCCCAAAAGAGACTACGAATTCTTGGACATGGTTTCTTGAAAAACTACATGAATGCATTGGTGATGTGGAAGGTCTAACAATGGTCACATATAGGGCACCCGCAATTGCTGTAAGTATTCAAAATGTTTTTCCAAATGCTCAACATGGATTGTGTGCTTTTCATCTAATAGGAAACATACTCCACACCTTTGGAAAAAACAAAAAAACAACAATTTTATTTTGGAAGCTGGTAAGAGCTTACAAAAGCACTGAGTTTGAATTCTATTGGGGGAGACTTCGTAATATAAGAGATGATGTAGCGACATATCTCAGTCAAATTCCACATGAGAAATGGACCAAAGTGTATTGCCCTACCACGAGGTATGATTATATGACCTCAAATAGTGCGGAGTCCATGAATGATGTATCAAATAAAGCAAGGAAGTTGCCTATATTACCACTTCTTTAGTTCTTTCGCGCACTTAGCAGAAATGGTTTTACAAACGGTGGATGGCTGCAGGTATGATTATGTTTATTTTTAAATTATATGATAAATGTCATATATAATAATATATGTTTGTTTTAACAGAAAAAAGTACAACAATACTTACGAAGTGGGTTGAAGATATGGTTAAAAAAAATAAAGAGGGGATTCAAGGATGGTCGGTATCCGGTGTTGACAATACAACATATCAAGTGCATGACTTCAAAAGTGGTGGCATAGTGAATTTGAGGGAAAAGACTTGTTCTTGCAGATATTGGCAACTAACTGGTTTGCCATGTGGTCATGTGATAATGGTTTTAACGCACTTGAAAATTAATCATTGTGGGCATATGGCTATAGATGCTTATAAAATTGAAACATATCGAAGAACGTATGAGCAGACCGTATATCCTCTTTCAGAACTTAGTGATTGGGAGGTTCCGGATGACCTTATGGTTGTTAACCCTCCTATGATGGAAATACGTCAAGCCGGTAGACCAAAAAACACCAATCGTATTCCCTCTCAAGGTGAGGAACCAAAAATAAGAAGGTGTAGTAGATGCCATAGCAGAACTCATAATGCAAGGACGTGTAAGGAAAACGTTCCAAATAACCAAAGTAAAAGTAAAAAAACGTACTGGGGCGTCAGGGAGTGGGACAAAAGCGAAAGAAGAGGAACTGACGCAAGCGACCGAAAACCAATGGCAGCATGAGCCAAAGAACCAATGGACGCAACATACCGAACAACAATGGCAGCAGCAGCCAGACAACCAATGGACACAACAACCTGAACATCAATGGCAGCAGCAGCCAGACAACCAATGGACACAACATACCGAAAATCAATGGCAGCAGGAGCCACATAACCAATGAACGCAAGGGACCGAATACCGACCGCATGAAGAGCCATAGAACCAATGGTAGGGTTGCACCGAGTACCAATGGCAGCAACATCCAGATAACCAATGGACGCAAGAGATAGTAAACATAGGGACACAGGCAACAGAAAACCCATTGATGGAATACGAAAACAAATCAAAGTTTTCATGGTTCGATTTGAATGAATGAAGTTTATTTCATAGTATGTTTATTATGAAGGTTGTATGTTTATGTTTTCTAAAGTATGTTTTGTAACCTATAAAAAACATGGAATATTTGTAGAATTTTAATTAGGTTATTTATATGCATCGGTTTGTATTACGTTATTTATATGTATTTGGTTTGTATTAGGTTATTTACGAAACCAGTTGAGTTAACTTCTATTTTATTCCATAGAACATAAAATACAAAACAGTAAAAATACATGGAAAACATACATCAGTAGCATACGTATTACATAAAACATTTCATTATTTTTAACTTTTTTTTGTCAAATTTTTTACATAATTATCACATAAGGTATTAGTGTATTTAAAAAAAATTAATATTAATAAACAAAAATGAACGCAAAAAAAACGAAAAAACGAAAAAAAATATTAAAAGAAATAAAAAAACAAAGATTTCGCAGAGCTGTAGGGGATCCGCAGAGACTTTAATGAAGTTTATTTCAAAGTATGTTTATTATGAAGGTTGTATGTTTATGTTTTCTAAAGTATGTTTTGTAACCTACTTAAAGTATGTTTATTATTCAGAATACCGGTGTGTGTAATTTTATAAAAAACATAGAATATTTGTATAATTTTTATTAAACACACAACTTTTATAAACGGGTAATTAAATAAGAAAAAACAAAAACAAAAACAAATTTTTTTTACATAATAATCACATAATACCTTATGTGATTAAAAAAAAATATTAATAAACGAAAAAAAAAACGAGAAAACGAAAAAACGAAAAAAAATGAAAAAAACCAAGATCCACAGAGGTGTTCACATTCCGCAGAGGTGTTTATGATTCCGCAAAACCCCCTCTGCGGAATCTGTGGTCATTTTCTGAAATCTTCATTTTTGTGGTCATTTTCTTCAAAGTCACCCTACATTTTGGTCATTGCCAAATAATCTCATAGTATATTGTATCAAATGAACATACACAAAGTACGATGTTAAAATATGAGAGATGAAAATTTGATGTTACAATAAACAATTCAATAGAAATTTGATTTACATTATCATCTAATATACTCTTTATAGTTGAGAGACTTACCATTCTCTCTTTACTTGACTTTTGTAATTGAAGAGCGACATGGTTTTAACAAGATTTTATAGAACATGAACCCATTCATTTTTATAGTTGGCTTTTTATGGTTGCTTTTTAAATTTTTTTTTTTGTAAATTTTGTTGATGTTTATTAGGTAATGCTATTGTGACGAAGTTTCCAAAACATTATAAGAAATGAAGGATCATTGGCCGCATTACTTCCAAATTGCTTCATTTTTCACAACGCTAAACCTCTTTTTTTGTATGTTTCCCATTCTACCTTTTCTTGAAGCATTTCATTCCCTTTTTACCCTTCTCCCTTTACCAGCCAATGCATGGGAGGAAGGAGATGAAGTTGTTTTGATCACATGCCACCTTCAGAATCCATATTTTGATCACTGACCCGGAGCAAAACCCGGACTTTTTTATTAGTTTTATACTTTTATATATACAAAGTTTAAATACTATCTCATTTACGTAAACAACTTTGTTTATCTAGATCTTAGAAAAATGCAAAAAAAAAAAAAAAAAAAAAAAAAAAAAAAAAAAAAAATAGACTTTATTTTAAGAGAAGGAACTTTAAGAGAAAAAAAAACTTCTAGAATTCTAACGAATTAAATTTACATTTTTGTTGTTTCAAGTAATTAAACAATTTCATTTTTCTATCTTCATCAGTGTCGGTGTCGTTTTTTAAACAATCAGTGTTGGTGTCGGTTTTTAAACAATTGTATTATTTGATTTATTTATTTGTATCATTACAATTTATATGTAATGTTTAAATCATTTAACTGTTAATTGGTTGGCATTTGTGTTACAAATTAAATTTTCATGTCGTATCGAGCAACTAATAGGACATCATTTCATAAGCACAGACCAGACAAATTCTTTTGGAACTAAAAACTAATTAATAAAAAAGATATCGACACAATTGAGTGAATGGCCATCATGAATGCAATATTTAATAAAAATGACTTATTTTGTGGGTTTTTGGATAAAGACCTATCCGTCAAGGAAAATGTCATTCTGAACACTCCATTTTGGATTTCGGATTGTACCAGCAATAGGTTAGTTTTTTTCACGGTAAATATTTAAATGCGTTATTTAAGTATATAAAAGTCAATCATCAACTTCTTACATTATATTTTTTGAATAAACATTTAAAATTACAGTTTATGAATACAACAACATCCATTTAACAATGTTGTGTGATGAATTGTTATACTTTTTATAGATCTCAATAAAAAAAGGAATCATTTCTCGAAATTTCAGAATTTTTCATCGAAGTTCTGATTTGTTCGTGAAATTCGGAAATAACTGAAAATTCTAATTTCATATATTTTTCAATCAAATGTCTAACATTTTAGGCCATTCTATCGTATCTATTTCTCATTTCCTGTATTTCTTAAAATTTTTGTTAGATTTTATTGAAAATCAAAGTATATTCTTGAAATTCCAAAATTGTTTATCGGATTTCAGACTTGTTTTTAAAATTCTAAAATATGATTTTTTTTCCGTGTAGAAAGTTTGAAATATAATTTTTTGTTAGAAAAAATATTTTTATTATGATATAAATTTAGGCAGCAATAACTCGATCATTTTGATTAATTTTTTGTTCCTGATGGTCATTTATTTTGTCAATATCACTCGGTAAAGGGCATGAAGGAAAGTTATTATAATAAACAAATAAATATAGTGATTGAATTTTATTTGATGTGATAGCATATTAGCATTTGATCAAATAGTCAAATAGAAATACTTTTATTTATTTAATTATTATATGCAAGAAATGAATTTATGCCTATTCAGATTGAATACTATTTAAGGTATATTTCCTCACAGTAAGTATAATATCTTGTAACATCTCTCTTTATCTAGCACAAAATTACAAATTAATAAGGCAAGAAAATCATTTTGACCCTACTCAAAGGAGAGTGATCGGGAAGATGTAGATCTTGTCTTGGTTTATCCACAGATATATTCTACTTTTAAGTTTTAAGAGACAAGAATGGAGCATATTAATTATGCAACATATAATAATATACGTACATGTATATAAATATAAAAATAAACATGGCCCATAATAAATCAATAATATGTAATGAAAAGCGTGGGGAATAGTGGGCATCAGTGTGTTTCCTCGAATCGAAACCAAACCATAAAATACAAAACAAGGAAATCGGAAATCGGATAAATCTAAGATAGATTTGTTCTTTGTTTAAAACGGCTTGATCTTAGATATACAGTAAATCCTATACAAACTTAGAAAACTTTGCCTTTTATTAATGTCAAAACACCTGATATCTAGTTGAATAGTGTTTAACAAAAATCGTTTTTTTTCTATTAATATAATGTGTATGAATGTAATATGAACTTCCAAAAACATTATATAATAAAGGTAATTGATTAAACCGTTTTAAACCAAGAACAAAAGGATTGCTTTTTTTTTTACAAGTGTAGTCAATAGGTTACATCATATATTGTTAAATGTGATTTCAACATTTGAAGCATTTTCATAGAGATGACATTCTTGAATATGATGACACTCTTGGTTATGATGACATTCTTGGAAATGATGACACTCTTAGATATGATAACACTTTTGGATACGATGACACTCTTGGTTATGACGCACTCCTTGAATACGATGACACTCTTTGGAAGGAGCATCTGATATAAGACTGGAGCATCAGAAAAAGTGTCATGCACCGGAGGCGCCACCAAGTGACAAGGTGCCACTCAATGGCACCTGATGTGCCATCATGGTACCTCAACAAAGTGACATACATTGGAGGTGCCACCAAGTGACAGGAGGTGCCACTAAGTGACAAGGTGTGCCACTGAATGAAACTTGATGTGTCAATGGTGGATTGTTGATGCCGATGCAATGTCTCTCAATGATGAAAGCTCGAGAAGCAGCTTCATGACAGATTATGATTGGTTGACACCTTTCATGAGCCTATGGATTAATGGGTTTAACCCATCAGGGTTTTAGGTCTGATCTATAGTCTATAAATATGGATACATGATAGTCTTTTTGATGAAGTAGTTAGTGTCTTGTATCCTTAGTAAGTAGGTCGAGTCTCTGATGGTTGTACTTATAATCTCTGTTTGAGGACTCTATAAATAAAGAATACTCCCCTCCTGCGCGTAGACGTAGGTTACCTTGACCGAACCATGTAAATATTATGTCGTTGTGTGATTCTGGTTTCGTGAGTTGTCCACATTACTTCATAACAAGGGTCATCAGAGCTTGACAAATGTCATCGGATTTGTTCTGGTCCTTGACAAGTTTTGTATGATTTCCTAACAAGTGGTATTCGAGCTGCAGTTGGTGTTCAGTTGATTGAAGATGGCATCTCACAAATTCGACTTTGAGATATTCAATGGTTCGAATGATTTTAATTTGTGGAAGGTAAAGATGAAGGGTCTTTTAGTTCAAAAAGGATGTGCGGCAACATTGGAAGGTGAAGCGAAAGTGCCAAAAGATATGACGGCTGACAAGAAGATGGATATTATGGCACGAGCACATAACACTATCCCGTTCAATTTGACAGACGAAGTACTGAGAAAGGTCGTGGATCAAACGAGTGCATCTGGGCTTTGGGAGAAATTGTGTGACAAATATCAGAACAATTCTATGACGAATAAGTTGTATCATAAGAAATGTTTGTTTACTCTTAGGATGCCTGAAAGTACCAAAGTGAAGGATCATCTAGATAACTCAAGGTTCTAAATAACGTTAGGTGTGACTTGGTGGCAATGTCAAGCCTCAAGCTTTTACGAGTCATGGCGAGTCATGTCATTTGTAAGGTGACAATTTTGTATATAATTAATAATTATATATATTGTCACACCCCGACCAACGGCGGAAACGCCGGAGTTGAGACAAAACATTTTGGATCACAGTCAACAA